CATGATACTTGAATCTCGTTACTTCATGATAAATTTAAAAAAAACTATCATAAAATCTCTAAGTCTAGTATTTGTTGAATTTGCTTGTATTTTTGCTTTTGCTATTTTCTAAATTCCTCTCCCTCTCTCCTCATTTAGTATTTTACTAATTTAAATCTTGACAGATGTCATCCCAACATTTATTTGTTTGAATCCTAAGCCATCAGGCCGTGACTTAAAAAAGATTTACTAAAAGGTAGAACCTGTAACCAAGGAAACATTTATTTCTTCTCTATTCTCAGTTAGAGTTATTGCATCTTTGATAATAGGTTTTGTTAGTTATATTTACACCTTTTAGTCATTTGGATTCAGCTCTGTGTTTGGCCTAGCAAACATAAAAGGGTATCAGCCACCAGCTTTCTAAAATAAACATACAACAGGCTAAGAAGTGTTTTATAATGAAAATCTAGAGAAAATATCCAGAAATTGTTTTGAAAATTAAGATTAGACAGAATAAATTAAATTTAAAATAGATTGGTTAAGCTAAAAATAGAGACACTACGATTTAAGATAAGTACTTCTGTAATGCGATCCTTAAACAAAAAAATGGGTTCCAAGTGTGAAATGGGGAACTTGCAACACCAACCTTAGTGGTTGCTACTCAACTCAGGCATATTATTGGGCTTAAATGGCATTTTTTGGTTCAGTCATTTTGGTTTTTATTTCTTCTAATTTAATATTTTGACTTAATATTAAAATTATCAAATATTATCAATCAAACTTATGTTTTTCATATTTTTTTTATTCATTTTTTACACGTTAAAATCAAACCATAATTTTTAATTATTCATTAAAATGTAATACTTAACTATATATTATGATATATTATAAAATAATAGCTCTACCCCCAGAGAGACAATATGTTAACTTTTTAAAAATTTTTTAACAGTAAATTGCCCAATATAAATTATTTAATTAAAAATATGTAATTCCCTCTAGTGAATTTTCTCTTAATATATAATATTAGAATTTTGATAAAATTTAGTAAAATCAGGCAAATTAATTAATTTTATTTTTGCCTCTTTTTTTCTCTCACCTATCTTTCATTCATATAATCCTATTATTATTCATAATTATTAAGATAGATTCTTAACTTTGGATAAAATTTAATTTATAAAGATTAAAGTGAGAAGAAATTAATATCATTATTATTCCCATTTAAAAAGAT